TCATTCAAAAAGTCCTTTTCACGCCGGCGAGGCTCGCGCGCTCACCTTTTAACGCGTTAACGACGACGATGTATCAGCCCATTGTCTATTGCAAATGGCGCGCGAACGTGTTTAGAGAGCATTTACATTGATGAAGGTTGCCGTGTGACCAGATATCTCCATCGAAAGTGACAAAATGTGACCAGCGCTTGAAAACGGTTCTGACAGCTGCATCAACTAACGCGAAAGACGGGCGTCCAAGAAAACGCCAGCAGTTATACCAACTATCGCGAAACAGTCTTGCAAAAAAAAGCGCAGCCTGACAACCACAGAGGAAAATACTGGTCAAGGCCATCTGGGGTTGCTGGCTGAAACGCGGAGCACCTCATTACGGCACACCCATCGCAGCTCTTCAGGTAAAACATGGTGCAAGCGATTTTCTATTATGTTTTTGCTTCGTGTGTGCGAAATGGGGCGCGTGGCTCGGAATAAAGCGAATGATGAACCAGCGGATGAAACAGCGGTCCTGATGAACCAGCGGACAGCTAAGAGAGGAGGAAAGTCGAGTCTTACTATTACTTAGTATGCACCTTGCCTCATACATACCTGCCCCAATGTATCATCGTGTGAAAATAACAGTTTACAACGTGTCTGGGCTAAAACCAAGACAAGCACGCCAACGAACACGGAAGCGTTACAACATCGGCGACCACGATAGTGGTTAAGTGGTGCTTCTCCAACTTTCCATTCCTATGCGGGATGTATTCTGATATAGTTTTTTGCGTTTTTGTTTTGCTATTTCCATATCGTGTGCGTCTTGAGCGTACAGTGTGAAACTTATTTCCACATATGTTCTTTGTACATGCCAGATATATAACCCCAACCCCTGTCTTGGCAGTTGGGCTGACAGTATGAATAAATAAATAAAAATTCTCCTTGCCCTGTGCGGGCTAGCCAAGCGGACTCAGTCCTGGTTAACGTCCCCACATTTCTTCGATGTCTCGCTTTCTCTACCCCCCTCACTTTTTTTTCCGCCATAGACAAAGGCAAACTGGACATAGTATTAAACTGCCCTGGCTTTTTCTGTCTCCTCACTTCTTTTTGAATGACACGTTCACGGGTGAGGGGTTGTGGCACCTCGGGGATAAACCTAGTCGACCCATGAAAGCCGCAAAGGCTCCGGATAAGCAGAAAGATCCTCCAGAACCACGACCATGCTGCGACAGGAGGCACTGAGCCGTCATAGCCACGGACGCGTACAAAGCTATACCAAGCGCGCGCGCACACACACGCCATAGGCGGAGAAACAGCCGCATCGATCTCCAGCGCGCCTAGAGGCGCTGTGTATTCGGCTACCACACAAAGGCGCGCAGAGGAAGGCGGGGAAGAAGAGGATGAAGCTGGCGGAGGATGGGAGTACATCGCTACACAACACCGCAACCAAAGACAGCCAACAACACGCACACTTTGCCGAGAGGCATCCTTCTCGCACCTCCTTTTTCTTCCCTGATCGATCACGTCAGCCAGGTTAGGCGAGGGATTTGCGCCGTCTTAGGAGGAAAATGCCCGGCGTTCTCGGGACGGTTATCCGGCGCCCGTTGGCGCCAAAGCCGCCCGCCGCATTCACCGTCGTCCCGTCTCACGCTCGCGATCCTCCTCTCCCCCCTTTTTTTTATCACAGTTGTTTTGCTCTCTCCCTCTTTCCATCATCCGCATTTCCCATTTTCTCGAGACCGGACACAGGAGGCAATATCCCTTGAGAACCCGGCTTCGCTTCCTATATCTCAACTCACCACCACCGCTACTATATATATATATATATATATATATATATATATATATATATATCGAAAATTTTGACTCACCAAATTAATTTTGACGTATCAGCAATCAGAACGTATAGTCTTTCAACAAAGCAGCGATGCTGCACACTGTATGCAATGGAATTTGTATTGGCAAAACTGAAAAGGCAACAAGAACGGCGCTTTAATTTGCTGCACTTCTTGCCACGGGGTGCCGCGACATACTGGAGCGGTGTGCTAACACGAACACTATTGTAACGCTAGCGCACACAGCAATCGAAACGATAGTGAGGGACCACGTTTTCCCGATGACGCGCGCTCAAGGTCGTGACGTGGCATACCTGCCCCGTGTAGCCCGCTCTCCCGACTAGACAAGAGATAACGCTCCGATACATGTGCGGTGTTTACACGAACGCACGCGCGCGAAAGGTCCTCGAGGCGTTGTCGATTCGCTGCGCACCCAGCAACAGCTTACACTTGAAGTTGTCTCTCCCCCCTCCCTCCCCCAAAAAACAACAACAACAACAACAACAACACGAGCCCCTATCCACCGCTCTCTAACCACCACACGCAATCGATTCTTCGAGGCTGAAGCACCGGATACGCGGGGAACCCTGACGCAATTTCCGGACACCGGAAGACGAATGAGAAAGCGTGCGGCGCGAGGTTTCCGCACCGGGTTCGCGTCACGGTAAGCTTCCTCTTTTTCATACTTTTTTTTTATTTTCAGGCAAACGCCCACGTTCCTATGCAAACAGGCTGCCCAAGGTTCCTTATCCTCGGTAGAGTGTTTATACACTCCGCAGCGAAAAATGCTGAGACCGCTTCGGGAAACAGTTTTACGTGAGCAACCCCGACGCATTATAAGCCCGTGGGCTCAAGAAGAGTTGCCAGCACTGAGCGGAGCCATAATACGCCAATGCGCCAGATGTATACAAAACAAGCAAAAACAACTTTGCAGCACACAAACCATTTTGTATTCCACATTTTCTGCGCACGTTTAGCATTATTATTATTATTATTATTATTATTATTATTATTATTATTATTATTATTATTATTAATGTTGTTGTTGTTGTTGTTGTTGTTGTTGTTGTTGTTGTTGTTGTTTTCAATGAAGATATCAGCGTGACGAATGATGGTCTTTGGGTATCGTATGCGTGCTGCAAGGCCTATATTGTGTAAGAATCGAAACAACGTTCTGCGAGATATCAGATGTGTTCAAAGCTGTTTAATGCCAAGGCCTATGAGGTATAAATAGTGTCTCCGAGCTTATCACCCTTTTCTCAATTCCACTATCTCTTAGCTCTCGAAGGGTGAAGGTATAAAATACGTCACCAGAGTCGCGCATGAGTTTCGGCCAGTGGAGGCCTACACGGAGGTCTCTTATCAAGAGACGGTAACAGAGAGAGGGAGACAGATAGGGCCCAACCGCAACGGCCTTGCCCTTATCGGAGAGCGAAACGCCACGAGTGTAGGCCACGCCACGAGTTCCAACCCGATCGCTAAATACGCGGACGCGTACCCTCGTGCATCTGCACCCGCACACAATGCCTCCACGCAGTCAGAGAGAAAAGCTGTTGGTTGACCCATATGCGAGACCACCGCAGTCACTCCGGATTGCAAAGCACAGCGCAAGACGACAGCAAGGCGAGCTCGCTGCGAAGGCGAGCCGCCCAATGTCAAGCGAAATATTAAAATCGCAATAATGCTGAACTCTTCTTTCAAGATGCAGAATTCCTGTCACGAGATATCGTTTATCCTTGAAAGTTCATTTAATGCTATGACGGTGTGTGTGTGTGTGTGTGTGTGTGTGTGTGTGTGTGTGTGTGTGTGTGTGTGTGTGTGTGTGTGTGTTTTCGTCGCTATTCTATTCCTCCAGTACAATGCTGCAAACAAGAAGCGTCTTTGATTCAATGCTTCCTAAGTGCTTCTTTACATTACATCAATGCCGTTCCCGCCGTACATGGAAATATGGCATCTCTATCCGCCGGTTGCACATTGCTACATCTGCTGGGCTTTGACGCATACAGCGAAATATGCCCAGCGGTTACAAACAAACATCCTAGGCGCGTGTAGCAATCAATATTGAAGAAATATTATAATCACTTTGCAAAACTTGCGAAAGGCATATCAATCATGATTCTGCGAAATGAAGGCGCATTCTAAAACGGCCGGATATGAAACGAGAAGGATATGTCATCGTGTCGCCGAACGCGTCGCGTTGCTTTGAAACTGCAGGACGACGCGTTTCGTTCGTCGTCTCAAAAAGGATCTCTTTTATGCATCTACATGTCTCGGCATATGTCCGTACAGCGTTGGTGAGTCGCGAGGACAATATCAAAGAAGTGTATGCCGATTGTGAAATACCCGTGCAGCTCCAGCAACTCATGATTAACATTTTATCCCCCACCCCACCCCACTCCCTCTCGAAGAACAAATATTCACAGCTCTCGAATGTCTGACAACTGACACTGAGATACGGTGGACGCTATATTTCAATTGATGACTCTCACTCTCTTCCTCTGTCTCAATTGAGCGCATAGGCACCTGTTAATCAATTTGTAGCTGCTTATTTCTTATCTTATTTCCTAACCATGCGATTCTGAATGGTAAACTAAATAAACAATTAAGCGCTGCTTCCACCACATAGATGTGCACTTCTAACACCGAATTTTAGCAAAGTGACTAGCCAAGCTGCTTCTTTTTCACGCGCACCCTGTGCAAGTACAACTAAGCCAAGCTAGAATGAAACAAACGATGAAGAAAAAACCAAAAAAAAAAACGACTCAGCACTTAGTACAACTACAGACAGCTAACCAGCGGCGCCGAAACGTGCGATCTCGACGTTTATTACTGACCTGATCCAGGCAGTTCGTTAAAGTCTTTCTCAATCACTGGCTACTTCTGTCCACAAACCTTGATTAGTGTCTGCCGTCCACGTGTCCACTCCTCCCCCATTCTTCACTTTTAGAGCAGCAGTGGCGAGTACAGTTGGATTTGCCTAATTTCTGTTGGGACGTACGTAGTTTTAGTCCGTGGACGACTTATTCCTTTTTGGTTGACCAGTGGTCAGTATATCGTGGGGCTTGCGCGTCGTCTGCGGTACATACGCACAAGGATCACGGACAAACTTTCGTTTCGCCTGCCTGTGTACAGCATTGCTGTTAAAAAAGAAAGAAAAAGAAGAAAAGAAAGATCGAATGGAAAGACACTCACCATGTAGCCACGTCCGGAACTGGACCGCGTACTGCACTGCAAGACAAAACGGGCGGAGAAAAAAAAAACATGAGACAACTTGCGGCACGACGCGCTCACATCGTCTCGGATAATGCTATAAGGCGAAAGCGTGCAGCGCTACACAACACGTCCAAACGCTAAACGACGAGCACGTGCGATGAAAATATACGCGTCAGAGATGCACAACTCGACAACCGACGTCAGTTTCTTCGCGAAACTTTAGCGCAGACAAAATCCGGAATGATTGATGAGCATCCTGACTCACTCACACACGCAACTAACGACGTGTAGGCAGTGAATGAGCTCGTATAGAGCGGCGAAGCACGGAACGCCCTCCGCTGCGAGCTTTTCTTCGGTGCCTAATGTTGTAAATATGTTAGCCCAACTTTTTATAAACACCGCGGTAAATCTTAAACGCTCGGAGCGTTTTATTTATTTTCACTTCTTTTTCTGTGCAACGGAAACTCGTCCACGGGGTGATAAACTAAGATTTACACGAAAATTAGCACGGCGTTATTTTCAGTGTTTCTACATGCATACCCTTTACATGGAGCCACCGAATGGCGCGGAGTGGGGCGGGGAAGGGTAACATAACCTACTTGAATTGAATACGCTTTAGACATGCTGTCTGGAGTCGGTACCAATTCAGTTTAACCACAAAATAAATGCACGCTGATATTTTATTACTATTGCTACGTTAATTTCACATCCATTAACACAAACAACGCAAAAGTAACGTAAAACAGAAAACACAAGAAAGTTCGGACACGTACACGTTCATCGCGTGACAGAAATAGACAAGCGTCATAGCGATAGGAGTGGTGTCGATAAGAACGTGAAGTGACGCACTTCCACGCTCTGAGGAGTGGATATGACCGCAACGCAGGTATGTAACATTACATGACTGGTCGGTCTACCATCTATTTGCAAAACGTGGAGGACTACACGGCGTGCCAATAAATGAGCCCCGCAAAGTGTTTAGCCCACAGTAATGCAATAGTACTTGCCGCCCTGTCATATGCAGCGTGATTTTAAGCAACCAACAGAGCAGCCGAAGTACGCTCTATTCTTTTGTGACTGTATAACTGCATAGTCGAAGCATAGCACACAGACGGGTATAATCAGCAGTGAAAAAGCAAACTCCAACGTGGTAGTTTCACTCAGAAATGGACACCACAAGCGTAAGGCCACACCACTGTCCATCAATCGCCATACGTAAAGACGCGCCATTTCGCAATGCTAAGTATACTACGTTATATATATATATATATATATATATATATATATATATATATATATATATATATATATATATATATATATATATATATATATACACTTTGAGTTAAAACGAAGAGCTGGTTGTAAGTACGCGAGAGCAATAAATATTAAGTGCACCTCTGCACGGAGACACTCTGAACCGACTAATGGAGCGAGAACGGGATCGGGTTTGATTAATAAAGAAATGTGCATGGCAAGGCGGCTATGAAGGAAAGACGTGGTGGTGGTAGTGGTTAGAAGACGAGAAAAGGCGCCTAATTTCTGAAAAACCGGTCGGGAGCACGAGGGAAGAAAAAAAAAAGCATTGGCACGTCTTTACAGCTCTCTCCCACTGTCTATATTCTCTCTCGGCCCGTATGCGCCCCACTCGGTCAAAAAAAAAGTGAGAATAAAACACACACGCACGCACACGCGTACGCACTGAAAAGGGCGAAAGCTGCCTTGTCGAGCCATCAGCCACCGCAAAATACCACCTTAAAGAGCGACGCAAAACATTTTAAGACACACAGGTGCGCTTGTCGCCACACACGCCGTGAAAGGGTATAAAATAAATGTGAACGAAGAGGGGGGGAGGGGGTTTTGATAAACATGTCACGACGGAATGGTCGGACATAAATCAGCCAGCTGTGCATTTCGCTTCATGAGGGGCCACGCGCATTTTAGGAGTCGCAGCTGCACTTTTACTCTCTACAAATGATGAAAGTGCAAGCAAAACGATGAAATAAAAAACATATATCAACACACATAGTTATATTATAACTTGAGGCGCAATAAACCCAATGACCTCATTTAAAGAAGTAACAAAACATAACACTTGCACAAAAGGTAGCCCGTGATGAATATGCGTGAAGCTCTCAATGGCGCACAAAAAGTTCCGCACTGATAGTGTATATAACTGCGCCTGTCTGACAGAAAACTCCAGATATAAAAAAAAAATCGAATAAATAAACCGTCTCTCCCGTCAGGCGTGCGAGTTAGGCGCGTCGCGATCAAGAACGCTCGCCCATCAATCAAACAGCCGTACTTACCGCTGTGCTTACGCGTACTCCACGCACGAACAAAGAAGACGTACAGTCGCGCACTGAAATAATACGGACCACGTGAGCTCGTGGCAAAACTGCTGTCTGCGCCGCCCAGTGCCGAGTCGTGTGGTGTGTACAGCACTTCCCCGATAAGTGCACGGCCACAGTAATGTCACAGCAGCGCTCTCGACAGCAGACGGCTCGCCAGTAGACGGCGCAGACAGCAGTTTGGCCACGCACTCCCGTGGTAGGCTTAATTATGTGGCGGACTGTACAGGTAGACAAAATTGAGCACTTCCAACGGCGCATTGCAATAAATGAGGAACACTCTACATTGACTTAAAATTGGTGTGCGCGAATTAATACGACTGGGACCCGGAAAGAACGAACAGAGACAGGCGCATCGAGTTCATTCATGATGTGTCACCGTCATGTAAATATTTGCGCACACCAGTGTTATCCCCAATTATGAACCTACTCGCCCGGCTACAAGTTTTAGTAGCACCCTACGACAGCCGTATTCACGTATATAGCGGAGAACTGCAGTGCGAACAGGAAATACGAGAGCACAGGCGATCGCTAATATCGCTAAAGAAAAAAAAGCGTTATTTTTGGCGACGCGAGTTTATATTCAAGCTCGTCGCTCACAGCTACAGTACACTACACTCACAGGGCATGCTTAAGCGTAATCCGACTTCATTTTTACGTGGCGCCCTCTGCCATTTCGGTAGGGAGACTGAGCTTTGTGGTGTGATCCGGCACTACCGGGATCGCCAGAACAAACACCTCCGAGAAGGGACGACGCACGGCGACTCCTACGACATGTAGCGTTTCGCGACGCTCCCACCAGGGGAAACAGGCATGCGCCGTTTCACCACGAGGAATCGGATTCGTGTCTTTCGCAAAGGACGCGTCCTTCGTGAAGTTCTCATGTGGTTTAACATTCCGCAGAGGTCTCAACTGCGCATGTGCAATGCGACATGTGCCCAGTATAAGCACGCGTCGGTGAAAAAATAAAATAAAATCGTTTCCGTTGCCAGCTATCGGTCGCCCATCCAACCGCTTACTCTGCAATCTGTACCCTTGTTCTTTTTTTTTTTTTTTGCCGCGCCGAAATTCAAAACACGTTGTACCAACAAACCGAACCAGCCGCATTACCGAGGATTCACGTATGGAGCACGAACCGCGCAAGAAAGAGAGCATAAAAAAATAAGCATCCCCGCGCAGTGTTTATTTCAGAGTGCAAGCTCGCTACTGTCGAGGCCACACACGCGCAGTCAGAAAAGCGGAAACGCCCGTCACCAGCACGGCCCCCTCCGAATCTCACCACTTCTTTACAACGGGCCTCCGAACAAAACTCGTTTCAGGGTCCAGAGCTCTCCGAAACTGGCGACGGGCCAGCCAGGGGGCCGCAATCTCTTTCCGCGGTATGCGAGTCGAGCCGAGAGAAATAGACGTCCTCTTAGATTCTATCCAAGCAATACGAAACGGTTGAAACGTGAAGTGGAAAAAAAAAAAAGCGGGAGGCGGGGGACGTCGAAGAGAGGAGCGAGGCAGCTACGTCCAACAAGAAAGAGAGCTACAGCGTACGAGTAGTTTCACGGAGAATAGGGATACAGTTTCCAAACGGATTGACGTTCGCAAAAACGCGCCCGAGCGCCTCCTGACGTAAACAAGCAACAAAAGCGTAGCGAGAAGGCCTTTCGCTACCTTCTTCTATGTATTGGCGTCCCCGCCACCCACATATACATCAGAACTAACCTTAGGCTCTGCTTCTTTTCTCGGGGGACATAAAACGCACGCGTCAGATCGATTCACCGGCATAGCTCCTTGCCGCAAAGAGCGTGCTTTATATGGTATATACGAAGGACCTATAACGCCCCCCCCCCCCCTTCTTTCTTTCTTTTTTTCGTCTTAGCCTCCCGCTGTTCGTTCTGATACACCTCGCATCACGTTTTCTTCTTTAGTCACCCCATCCCTTGACACGTTTAGCTTCATTTTTATCCGCGCTCATTCCGTGACAGGTAAACGTTATATAGGAACTCCTTTAACACACGAATCGCAGAGGTATAAAAAGGAAGCCTCCGCGGGAGATGCTTTGCGCCGAGCGCTTTTTTTTTCTTTTCTTTCTTTCTTTCTTCTCTTTCTTTCTTTCCTTTCTTTTTTTTTTTTTTTGAAGGCGGGAGACGGGTTTACATTCGGTCTTTCGCGAAGTTTCGAATTGATCGGCTTTGCGTCGTGGGAGGGGGCCCTATCGCACCTCTCATTTCTTTGAATACACTAACATAAAGATAGAATATGTACTCGGTTATAAAGATTATACCTGCAGTTCCCTGAGCGAAATAAATATGGCAAGATTCCGAAAACTTCGAGCACTACATCGTGAAGACCAACATGCACACGTAAACAAGAGTACCCCCCCCCCCCCCAAAAAAAAAAGAAATACAAGAAATCACGATTCCGAGACCCGGGCGGGCTAAAGGTTTCTTTTGCGCGCGTCACGATTCTTCTGCGGAAACTGTGGCACAAAAAACATGCGTTACAGAGCTCAAGGCAGTCGACCTTACCGTTAACAACACGCAAAAAAAAAAAGCACTTTCTTGACCACCGCGCATGGGTGATTATTTTAAAGGAAAGAAGTAGTGCACGTGAAGACGCAAGCAATTCGCAGAAACATTTCTAAAATCAGCTGCGGAACGGAAAAAG